CACAGAAGGCGCAGGTGTGGGCGGACACAAGCCGCGGGGGGCACAGAGGACGCAGTAATCGCAGTTTGAACTTACTGAAACCACAAATGATGGGAGAACAGAAATGGGACTGAGCCAGGGGCGTGGGGTCCACCTGCGTGTCCCCAGAGGACACCCCCCCCCCCCAGGGAGCCCAGCTGGAATCTGGAGCCGGGATGTGGAGCGACTGGGGGCCCACACTGTCCCTTCTGCGCCCCCGCCTGCTGCCGTGTTGTGGGGAGACCCTAACCCCGGAGAATGGTCCCAAGGCCTGGGGGACCAGGCGCTACCGCACGGAGTCACAGCCGCCCCGCTGACGGAGCAGGAACCCACAGCTGTGGGGCAGCCCGGGCGGGGGCGGGGGCAGGGGCGGGGCCTGTGGGGCCGAGGGGCGGAGCCCAGGGGGGAAGGCCTGGAGCCAAGGGGGCGGGCCAGGCCCAGACTCCCAGGTATGCTCCCTGCCTCTCTGCACCAGGTGCTGTCCTCACACCTGGGTCCCCTGCCTCCTCTCCAGGGTGGACCCTCCCTCCCCCCTGCACACAGTGACAGCCTCACGCCTGCGTCCCCCCATCTCCGGTGCACCCTCCCCCTACCCCCGCGCACAGTGACTGCCTCACCCCTGCGTCCCCACATCTCCAGTGCACCCTCCCCCACCCCAGCGCGCAGCGACTGCCTCACCCCTGCGTCCCCACATCGGTGCACCCTCCCCCGCTGTGCACAGTACCTCCTCACGCCTGCGTCCCCCCATCTCCGGTGCACCCCCTCCCCCCCTCACAGTGACCCCAGCCGGCCCAACCGGCACCTGCTGTCTGCGCTGGTCCAACAGCTCCATGTAGTACTCGTGTCCCTCCTCCGTCTGGGACCCTGCCCCCCTGCGCACAGTACGTCCTCACCCCTGCATACCCCCATCTCCGGTGCACCCCCTCCCCCCCGCGGTGACCCCAGCTGGCCCGTCCCGCACCTGGTGTCTGCGCTGGTCCAACAGCTCCATGTAGTACTTGTGTCTGCCCTTGAGCTTTGTGATGCTCTCGATCTCGTACAGCCGCTGGGCCGTGCGCCTGCCTGTGCAGATGCCCTGGTTCACGCTGGCCAGCGCCGTCAGCAGCTTCATGGCTACCAGCAGAGCAGGCCGTGACCCTGGGGCTGGGACCCCAGGGCCGTGACCCCAGCGCTGGGCTCCACCTCCCACCGGAGTGACCGTTTTGCCAGTACTCAGAGGGGGCCTGGGGGTGAAAGGGGCTGGGAGGTCGGGGCGGCTGGAGGGCCTGCCGCGTCCTGCCCCTTGCTAGGTCACAAGAGTGGGTATGGTCACACGTACATGATGACCATGCATGCAGACCCGAGAACACATCTCAGTGTCCCCAGGGCGTGCACACACCCCGCGACCTTCCCAGCTGCAAGGTCACATCAGTGCCCCAGAGCCGGCAGGATTCAACCAGGTGGAAAATGTCCCCAGAGGGCACGCAGGGCCAGGACCAGGGCGGGAAACGTGCTTCTGCTGAACAACCCCAGCTCAGCAGGCTGCGAACGCCCGAGGGAGCCTCGCCATGACTGGGACACATGGCGGCTCGGGACCAGCAGTCCAAGGTCAGAGTTCACACGCAGGACCCTCCGACGGCACATGGCAGCATTCACACCGTGTCCCCTGCAGACCCAGACGTGGGGACGAGACACACGCAGCCCCTGTGTGGCTGAGACACCCTTACGCACAGGTCGAGAGAGCCCTAATCTGCAGGGACCCGTCTGACACGGGACCTGAGTCCCTGTGGGACACATCTCACTAAAGCATCGTCTCGAACTTTGGATTTCTTCATGGTTCTTAATAGGTCCCTGCAAAGATCACGCTTCCTTACCAACATTTCTGTGTGAGGATGACTCCGCAGACTGCTAGAGGTCAAGGGACACTGCACCTTCCGGAAGGATGCAAAACTCACAGGACTTGTAACACAGACCCTCCTACCAAGTCCCTGTGGTCAGCACTGACCGCTCAGAGTGTGTTCCAGGAGAAGATACACCAGGTACTGACAACTGATCAATAACCCGATTTGTTTAATTGACAGTCACTTAGAAAGACAACAGCCCAGGGACAGGACAC